CGTATGTCTGAGGTTGCCTCCCTTTGCGAAGATCAAATTTTCTTATCAAAGTTTTGGTAAGCGAGCCATGGCACCCCTCGGCGAAAAGGGTGACCTTGGCTCGAAACTCCATGCCACGCTCAAAATTATCCTTTGGTTTAAAGTCTTTATCGAGGCCCATGTCACTGATGGCGATGCCACGTACACTATCATCTTCATTGTATAAAACCTATAACAACAACCAAATTCATAACTAAGTTGAAATACTACAAGCAAGGATGACCGCTCTATTTCGGCTGACCTCACTCGCGGAAAAGCCGGGATACACTTCGACGCCAATCTCTTCTGCCTGTTCTCCCAGCCACTTTACAAATTTGTTCAAACTAACAACATAATTCCCCTTGTTCGACATCTGCGGTGTGGACGGAACGGGGATCGCCCATTTCTTTGTTAAAAATCGCAAGTCATCTTTTGTCGCCGGCTGATTTAGGGGAGCACCTCGTTCCTTCCAGTCAGGAATCAGTTCGTTAAGAGCACGAGGTTCGATAACTGCGCCTGAAACGGTGTGCGCCCCTTTGTAGGTCAAGGTGGAAATTAGAAAAGTGGACACGTCGGAGGAAAGGTCTCAAGGGTATACCTACCAATTTCGCTGGCTTTTTCAATCACGACTACTCTAACCTCTTTCCCTTCGACATTCGCAAGCTGTTTCAATCGGATCGCTGCAGATAGGCCTGCCGGCCCTCCTCCAACTATAACAACGTCAGCCTCGTCGACGAATCGTTCGGCGGTAAGCCTTGAGTCGATAGCTTGGTCTGAAACGGTAGCAAAATGCCTTCGAGGCGTGGACGAAAGGCCACGAGAAGGAATGCACGGCGACAAGTGCCCAAGGTATTTATTTTTTCCGAAAGCCGAACTCCGAATTGCGCCTCCTCGAAGCAACCTCAATGTACCAAATCTAATCCGAGTAGCCATTTGTCACTTAAATAGGTGTGGTGTGTAAGTTGGGTGGTTAGACACTACGTTTTATCATTATCGTTATTACGTCTTGGGTAAATAGATAATCTATAATATAACCAGATCGATGTTATACAAAGGATTATCATCCAATAGACATGGAAGATTCGGTTCATCGCGAGTGTGGACAAAGTTTCGTTGGAAATGCACAGGACGAGGAAAAAGGAAATCAAGTTCCTCTTCCGAAAATCGGCAGTGAAATGCCTGTCGACGTCAAATTAGCTTCAACGGTTGTACCTTTGGTTAAGGTGATTCAGTTTTTCTTCCTCCACTTGTCCGGCAACTGGTCCTGACGAGTTAAGCCACCCCAATTCCAAATTTTAGTCGATCAACAAAAAACCCGTTAGGCCTTCCAAAGCGCGACCCAACTTCTTTTTGTCGGTCCGCCTTGATTCCGAAGCGATACAAGAAAAATTCGTGGAATTCTCAACTCACGTGAATAGTAAATATCCGGAGTACAAGAAGTTGCTGATTGAACCGTGTCAGGTAAGTAGCCAGCTGGTTCGACCACGCACTCGGACCGACCCCTTGATTTTTTTTTGTTTATTTTTTTTTTTTGTCTAGATTCATGTGACTCTCTTTGTTTTTCACCTCGGAAACGGCGAAATCATAAATCAAGCAAAGGAGTGTTTGGCGAAGAGTCAGGATGTTTGTCGATTCAATTTTTGATAACTTTTTTTGTTACGACATTTCGCCAAATTTCACATTTCTGATGGTACAGATTCTAAAGGAAACTTGTCCGGATGGTTTGCCATCATTACATTTTCGAGGAATTGGTGAATATTAATGATAATTGCTAGACTGATCACCCCCTGATATATATTTTTTCCTAAGTTGTGCGTATGCGAGTTTAAGATCGGGGTTTTTTTTTTGTGTCGTGTCAGATACGTTTGACGGTCGTCGTGTCGTTTACACATCTCCCGAGGAGACCGACGGACTGGAATTGTTTACAAAGCTCACCTACTCTCTTCACGAAAAATTTAAAAAAGAAGGTCTCGTGAGAGGCAACATTCGCGAAGAATTCAAACCCCACGCGACTTTGTTAAAAATCAGAAAACCCTTGAGAGTCAAGTCTCAACATGGAGGCATGGATCGTGTTATCAAGCATATTCCATCAGAAGTTTATGAAGGTTTCAAGAGTGAGCATGAGATTTGTGACTATCGTTTGGATGATTCGATGTTGGTCAATGCTGATCTTTTTTTGGTCAATTTCTAGAATTTGATTTTGGAATGCATTCCCTGCGTAGCATAGAATTATCTTCCATGCTTTTGCCCAAAGAGGGAGGATACTATGCCAAAATGGGGGAATTAATTTGAGACTTTACGCGCATGCTATTCGATTCGGTTAAGTTGTTTTATTGCGTTGGGCGGTTTAATTATACATTCGAATTTAACCATCGCTCAAAAGTCTAACGATTATTATTATAAATATCTCATGTACACCTATTAATGATTATAATTATTTTTTTAAAAAAATGAATATTATGTGACTAAGCCTACTACATACATTGATATAATAATATTAAAGTTTTTTCTATACACTATTTCTTCTACGAACCCTATTTCTTTTAACATTTTCCTGACCTTGGTCCAACAGATCCCTTAATTTTCCCTCCTCTTTGAATTTTTTCAGCATCTCCTTGCCGGCTTTGTATCCGACCTCGAATATCTCGTCAAACTTATTAAATTCCAATGTACCATATTGTTGTACCGGCAGTTTCATGTACAAACATCCCGCTATTAGTTTCGCCTCCTCCAACGTCTTAACACTCGATACATAGGCTAACCTTGATTGTATGTCGGCCATCGTCGGTATTTTGGTTGCCCGGCTGAACGGATTGAATCTATTCAATAATACCCACCATCCTGAAATAGAATCACCATAGTATACCGGCGATGTGTCATCATCGCTCGCCACATCCACCGCGAATATCGTGTTAGCACCCATCGATTTCATCACGTTAACCTGTCAATAAATATTATTTTCAAACGTTTTATTAACACATCAGTGCTAAGGTTGTCAGTATCGGAATTTCACAATAGCATTCCAAAAAATAACAAACCGGTAAATTGTCCATGTATCCACCGTCGACAAGCAAATTGCCGTTGTCACAGAGTGGCGGCAGGTAAGCCGATAATGACATGGATGCCCTCACGTATCTCCACGCGTATCCTCGCTTATGCACCTCCATGCGAGACCACGTGATATTGGTGGTAACGCAAAAGTATGATAACCAGAAGTCTTCGATCTGCGTGTCCGAGAAAATCTTCCAAATGCCTCTGTTAAATTCGTGTCCTGAAAAGAGGAGGAAAAAAAAATAATGATGATAATAAAATAAAATTAGATGGAAACTCGATCGTCCCTTAC